TTTAACCGAGTCTTATCGATTATGCATTGATTCTTTAATTATGTATTTGTCATCATCATTGGATCCTATAATCACAAAGAAATCACCCATTGTAATAGGAATAAGATCAATCGGAAATTCAACACCAAAAATCTCCAATACAAAATCCCAGTAAACCTCAATCTTTGAAACCGCATGATCATCTTCTATAGAACCCTCAAAGATTGAGCTAGGGCCTCACGAGCAACACTAAAACCTCTACAGAAAGATGTAGATACAAAAGACCGACTCGCACCCGAGTCAAATAATACCAAAACAGGTATAGAATTCATAAGAAATGTACCTAAAAGAATTTCATCATAAGCATAAACAATAGAATAATTCAGTAGAAAATAAAACAAATACATACCAGCGACGACATTAAGTGTTGCTAAGGCCTCCTCTGCAGTCAACTAAAAAGATCGACCCATGGCCTTCGGGGCCTCAAACTTGCACTGACGCCTATCAGTGATGCGCAGGGTCACATGAGCAGGAGTTTGAACCAGCTTCGCTGCAAGAAATGGACACTCAGCCTTCACCTGGCTTGACTGGTTGCAGCTGAAACAAACTCACAACCCTTTTGGACACTCCTTCAGATCATTTGGACAAGAGTACATAGAAACATCCATCAACATCTACAATCCTCATGGCCGCAATCGGATCCTAGATGCCATCAAACTCCGAGGGCTTTGTATTGTTGGATTCTCAGTAATGCATCGAATCATCACCATGTGGTCTCGTGGCGGCGACAACTATAGTGGCTGCAGTAGGGGCAAACTCAGTGACAATGGCATAACGCTCATCGAACAATTCGATCATCGTGGTCTTAAAATATCCAAACACTTCCGGGATGGCCTCTTTAATCGCCGCGACCACCTCTATGCCAATGATCCTATGGACTCATCATCACTGATGCCCTGCCTCTCCGAACCGCTAGAGCCTGAACCTCGAGTGAACACCATACTAAAATACACAATAAAAAGGTCAAAACCTGCTACAACATATACATATAATATAAACATCACAAGAAATCCCCTAGTACACTTGAGATTCCTTCTAAATCGCATACGAATCCTGTGCCTTCCACACATATCCGTAGTTGACTTAGACTTCATCTCGAGGTCCTAAATATCAAGAAATCAATCCGTTCCTCTTGTAGATATGTACTCACACTAATGTGATCTAAAATGCTACATCTCAGCTCTTAGGTACTCGCCCTAGGCTTCTCCCGACTACAAATCCGCCTTCCAAAAGTCTCCTTTAATCCCACCAATGGCCCTGCATACACCAACTGTACACAACTCAGACTCGATAGACATTCGAATAAGAGATTCCACCCAAAATCCATAACCAGACAAGGAACAAGAAATAAGGCTAAAATAAGTACTATAATGCTATAAAATCCTAATTATGTACAACTAAGTAGTCTATGCAAAATAATTAGCAATCTTAGTTTCAATCCTAGCAAGGCATCCACAAGAAATCTAATAGGATATAAGGCATCATACAACCAGACAACTCTATCCTAGAATTCCTGAGGGGTCCTTAGCCTACTAGCTAGCATACATTTCTATCATTTCGATAACAACAATAATAATACAACGTATAACACAATGTATGGATATTTTGGAAGATCATTACTTCGAGCTATGGCTGACTGTAGACCCTGCCTCCTCCGCTTCTTTAACTGAAATTTGTTCATTTGTAAAAAGGTTTTCATATTACTTCCCAGTCCCTTAGTTTGAGTCTGAAATTTCACAAATGTTCACTCAAATTTCTCAAACCAGGGCTCTGATACCAACTTGTAACAACCCAAAATTTCTACAAAATTTTTCATTTTTTATTTTAGCAAAAACCTCCTTGTATTATAAAAATCCAAAACAGGATATCCTAGGTGTATCGATACAATCATCCCAAATCTGAGTATAAAAAATGTGAGAATCATAACGGATCTGCCAACCGAAGTGTATAGTCACGCCTTCGTCTTTCTGCCATCATTTGAGGTACCTGAAACACATGAATTCACAACTATAAGTATTAAGCTTAATGAGTCCCTCCCAAAATATCCATACAATATAGTAACAACAAACATCTAAGAGTTATCAGCAACCCTGAGGTTTATCAGCAATCCTAGTGGGCTAACAACACGCCATGTGGATTAACAACATGTTTCAAGGGTTATCAGCAACCCTAGGGATTCTCAGTAATCCCAAAGTTATCATCATTTCAATTCAAATAAGACGGCAATCAACAAATAAGACCTATCTAGTCATACACATAAATACCACACAGGTAAAAGTACTAAGAAGACTAACCTTGCAGATAACAGCTAAAACACAACAACTCTCATGTACAGGGTAAATAGAAGTATCGAGACACCTAACAACAGTAAAGTCATGCCCTCTCAGCCTACACCCTTAAAACCCTAGTTTGACCCAAAAGTCAACCTTGGTAAAAAAACAAGTCAACCATGGTAAAAAAGTCAACCCTAGTCAACACCAGCCTGCAGTCACATCGTAACCACCCATAGGTAACGTCGTGACTGAAAAAAAAAAAAAGCAAAATAGTCATGACCAGCTAATCTCACGACGTGACATGCTAATGCTCACGTTGTAAGAACTCATATGGACAGGCTTGAGTATTAAGCTCTTAATCCATTAAGCCACTCTTTGAGACTTTCCGGAGGGTCTTCCCAACCCTAAAGACTATAAAAATTGTGTCTTTTCAGTCATGCATGTCCAATGCATGACTTGGACACTAGCTAGGTCATTAAGGAGGAAAATGGGATCAAGACTCATGCTTAGAATGTCAACTAACACCAAACCTCATATTTGAACTATATTCTGAAGAAAATGTCTTAATGATACATAAAGTTGCTAACTTTATGGATCCTATGCATGCTATCCTACCCAAACATGAAAAGAAAGGCATAAATATAAGATCTAACATGCATAATAGATAAAAGGCAACAATTTTAGTACTTACAAAGGTCTAAAAGCATTGAAGAATGAAGAGTTAGAAGCTTGATGGCCAAAAGGATGCACTCAAGGAGCTTTCTTCTCCTTTAAAGAGCCAAAAACCACAAAAGAGCTCTTAATAATCAACAATGGAGACTAAGAAAGTTTTGGGTAGGAATGAGGTGATGGAGGATGAAGGTGTGCAAACCCTAGCCTCCCATTACTCTTAAATAGGGAGCAAAACACATGATTAGGGTTTTGCCTGAACTCACGTTGTGAGAATCTAACCGTTACGTCGTTAGCCTTAAAATGTCCATGTGTCTTAAGACTGAAGTCACATCGTGATACCCTGTCTCTCACATTGTAACCTTCAAATTTTGGGGTTTTAATTCTTATTTAGCTCATACATTTTAAAGATCGAGTACATGCATTAGATGTTACAAAATTAATCCATCAATTTACTCTTTAAAAAAAATATTTCTACGTGGTGTTTTTAGATACTATTCACATTCCAAATGCCACAACAATTCTAATTCCAATCTCCGCCACCATGAACAACATCCCCAACCGAAACACAAACCTAATTCCAATTTCAATCCCAACTTCCATTAACAACTCAACCGAAAATCCTTATGATTCCGAACCTGAACAACATGTTTAATCAAAAAGAAAAGGGAAGGTCGGGAGTATAAGATGGAATAAAACAGAAGGGACAAAATTAACGAAGTCATGGGTCAACATATTCAAAGATAACGCCACTCGGAAGAGCCAATCACGTGATCAATTTTGGATATGTGTTATAGAGCAATTGTGTAAGGGTACGGGTCGAAGCCCAGATTATTGGACACATGACCAATGTAACTCAAAAATGGACTAATGTAAACAAACACATCACACATTGGAACAAAATTTACACAAACTTTGAAAAACAATAGGCTAGTGGGGAAAGTGGGGCAAGTTTGTTAAAAAAACGCACGTGAAATTCCAAGATGACATGCTAAAGCCTTTTAAATTAAACATGTATGTTTGGGATGTTGTTAAAAAAAGTATTAGGTGAAAGGAATTTGTAACACATGAAGAAATTTTCAATCATCCAACAAGAAGCAAAACATCTTCATATTCAAGCTCACAACACATGTCGTCAGATGGTCACATCGGTGTTGATCTTAATGATGATAACGGGAACATTGAAGAAATACAACTGCCTCCTCATCCCATGTGATGGAACAAAGCAAAAGCTTAATGAAAAAGAAAATCGACATCTTCAAATTCGTCGGTCGGAACCAGACGGTCACAATTAAATACAACTTTGGAGAAACATATGATTGAAACCATTTGACTCACGAAATATTCATTGTTAATGCAAGACGTGAAACACCTCGACCCCAAATATCAAGAAGCAACTAAGGCGTTTAAAGTGTCGATTCGTGAAAAATACAATCTACAACACAAATGAAATTTCAATGTTATGTTTTTTTTTTTTCTGGGTTTTTAATGTAATTTTTTATTTGATTTATCTTGTTTAGGTTTTCTAAAATGTAATTTTTAATTAATATTAATGATTTTTAGTATGAAATAATACAAAAAAAAAAGTTTATAGGTAAAACCATAAGGTGACATTTTTTTTTGAGTAAATTATACGAATGGTCCCTATGGTTTAAGGTAATTTGTATGCTTGGTGTGTAACTTATTTTTTAATTCTAAAGGTCCATATTATTTGTTTTTATTATGTGTTTGATCTCTGTCTTACAAAAAAGATTATTATATCCTTATTTAAATGAATTAAAGTAGTCTTTTTATGTAAGATAATGTGAAGTGGAGCGAGGTTGGGATGTGTTTATTTAAATAAATTAAAAATAAAGTGCAAAATAGTCTTTTTAGGTAAGACATGAACCAAACGAGCAACAAAAACAAACAATAAAAACCTTCCGAGTTAAAAAAATAAGTTAGAAACCAAACGCACAAAATATCTCAAACCATAGGGACCATCCATGTAAATTACTCTTTTTTTTTTTGTTAACGGCAATGAGCTTTCCTGACGAATCAATTCCGTCCAATTCGGTGTTGGTTCTGAGCTCGAAATTTTCGAACCGTTCTATGAGCTCTCCCGTAAAAGTCCGCAAAATTGGAGTTACTTTCCGCCTCCGGAGTCCGACAGAAATTCAATTTCACTTTTCGTCCTACGACTTAAAGAGAATCGAGAGTCGGAGTCTGACGGTTCGTCGGTGGCTGTGGCGGAGGAGGAGCCGGTGTCATACAAGGTGCCGACAGAGATTGGTTTGTTGAAGAAGCAGTTGCAGTTAATTGAGTGTGACGAGTGAAACTAGGGCGGAGGTAGTGGAGTTGATCACACATCTCGAGGCCAAAAATCCGACTCCGGCACAGATGGAGGCTCTTTCTCTTCTAAACGACAAATGGATAGTAGGCTAGTATTCGTAAGTCATACTCTACTCATTTATGCTAGTTTATAGTTAAATTTATAACATTGCAGTTAATTATCTTATCGGTTCAATGGAACCTTAGTGGCATCATTTTGGCCATATTTGTAGTTCTAATTGGTTTAGTAATGATGATGTTTAGTGCCCTCTTCATGTTTAGTAATTGCCAGCAGACGAATTGGATGAAGATCTTCGATTTGTTTTGAATAAATGTCATTTCATCATTTGTGTATTGTATTAGATGTGAACATAGCATCCTATCCACTTGAATGAGACAAAACTAACATGTAACATGGATTAATGGATTGTTAAAATTTAATAATGTGAGGTCACCAAGAAAGTAAATGGACTGTCCTGCGTGAACAAATTCACTAGTAGTCATGAATAAATCTTTTTTTTTTTTTTTTTTACCTCAACTTAACTCACAAAATAATAATATAATTTCTAAAGTGATTTACGAGATTGTAAGGATTGGATTATAATTTGGGCAATTTTTGACGCTCTGATTCATCTTAGCGTACCCTTATTAGCCATGGTTTTACATTTTACCTGCGAGACCTGTTGGAAATATTGAATTTAGAAATATAGAAATATCTTTTAGGGTAAGTTACATTATTGGTCTCATAGTAAGCTGATTTTTTCAATTTTTGTCACAAAATATTTTCTCTTGCAATTTTGGTCTTTATTGGGAGGATTTAGTAACTTTTTTTTTGTACCTATTCCAAGTAAAATGACTATTTGTGGAACTATAATTGCAAAAAGTTAGTTATCAAAAATAATCATTTTACAAACCTCAAGAAAGGATCACACTTGCAAGAGAACTTGTTGGGGCAATACATAGAGCACAGAAATGTAATTTACTATCTTTTATTATGCTTGACACATCAACCTTGTTAATTTAAATAATAATAAAAAAACTTATTTCTTGTAGTGAGTTTTGTAAATCATTAAACATCATACAAAAGTTGTAACTCGTAAATATCATATACAAAAGGTTATAAACCATCTTTGATTTCTTGAAAATGTGGATGTTTGTTTGTCAAATTCAAATACCGTGTTTTCTTTAATTCATGTTTTAAAAAAGACTTGTACGATATGTTATGTGGAGTAGACTTTGCCAACACCACTTATAATTGATGAAGAATAAAAGAATGAGAGCCCACAACCAAAAGCATAAAATTTTGTGGACACAAATTGCCCATTGACTTCCAAGTCTTCCATAGCTCTTCATTTATAGAACTAGTTTCTTGATCATAAAAACTCCATCAGATCATCATAAGAATCCATCTCTCCACTTCATTCTTTTAAAAAATACTTGGATTTGAGTGAGAATGATTTTCAAGGAAGCTAGATCCCTGAGTTCATTGGATCCTTCAAACATTTTAGGTATCTCAATTTCTCTGTTTTCAAGGTATTATTACTCAACACATTGAAAATCTTTCTAATTTAAAGGTTTTTGGTCTTTCATAACTTTAGTATCTCGACATGAGTTCATTGAATCGTAGTGAAGCACATAAAGTAGACATGGTGCTTTACATGATTCCTTCCTTGAAAATGTTAAGTTTGTTGGCATATGGTCTTTCCGATGCTGATCTTGGTCGTTTCTTAAGTTCAAGTAGACTATTCCCCAACTTCAAACACTTGGATCTTGGCTTCAATTCTTTCAAAGGTCCACTCCTTGACTTTTTTCAAAACATGACATCCCTTGAATTCCTAGATCTTTTAGGTTTTGATCTTACTTTGATATGGAACTTTACAAACTTGCTAAACATGATCCCTTCCTTAAAAGAGCTGCATTTGTAATGGTGTGGCCTCCATAAAAACCATCTATCTCCCCTTCATCAAAATTTGAGTACCCTTTCTAACATCCAACACCTAGATCTTAGCTCTAATTCAATCCGAAGCATATTTCCATCTTTTTTAACAAACATGAGTTCCCTAAGAGTCCTCGACCTTTCATGGAACATGCTGAATTCATCGGTTCCTATTATGGCTAACCTTCTAGAGCTTGATCTTTCTTATGATCGGTTTAAGTAATTTGGGTATGTTGGAATTTGGAGACAGTGTCACCTAAAACAATTTAGCGTGTCATATAAATTATAATTATTTTGATGTTGAAATGATTAACTTAACAAAAAAACATATTAGAATGCTCCCAATGTTGCAATTATGGGACCTTTACCCACATGGTTGCGGAAGACGCCTGTCATTCCTATCTTAGATCTTTCTCACAACAAACTCAGTGGATCTTTGACAAACCTTCCTAATGGTGGAAGTTTTGATGTTTCCGGAAATATACCCAAATGGGTTGGTGAAAAAACTTGCATCTTTGATGGTTTTGAGGTTTCACAAAAATAACTTCATTGGAAGAATTCCTCAATCTCTGTGCAAAACTTCAAATCTTCAAATTTTGGATGTTGCATACAACTACTTAACAACGGCACCCATCCCTCGCTGTCTAGGAGAGTTGAATATCATGGACAACATATATGTTGCAGTCATGGTGACAATTGCCAAGAGGAAGAGAGGCTGTATAGATCTTCTGGAATGCTAGTGATTCTTGAAACTATATTACCAATGATCCTTTTGATTTTCATTATTGTTATTGTGCTACTTTATACTATTATTTTGATTTATTATGTCTACGACATTTGTAATATTCTTGTTTGGCTGAGTTGTCAATATCAACCTATTTACTTATGAACAAGTTAATCTGAGTTATGTGTTATCTTCATGTGGTAAAAAAAGTCGAGTAAATTTTGGGTAGAAGGAACCATGCCAAACCAGGTTAAGTCACCCAATCTGACTAAAAAAGTTCAACATTTAGCAAATATTACTCGTTTGGACCCAAAACTGTTTTGACTAATAACACTACCCATCCAGTTAAGTTATATTTGCATTCTCTTAGCTTGTTTCCATTCAACCATCTCAAATTGAATATGAAGGCATGCATCTTAAATTATCTATCAATTCACTAACCTTTTTCCTATGAAAAAACATGATCACCTTCCAAAGCAAAATTACTCTCAGCTTTTTGATTAATCCTATACAAAAAACTTAATTCATTCTTAGTCCAAGATGTCCACCAATAAGCTATTGATTTACAGCTTCAGAATTTTAGTTTTGAGATCCTATTTGAAAGCACTATATGCTAAGAAGAAAATAAAGACAACATCGATGGGTAGGGAAAGAAGTTTAGCCTGTGGACTTGAGTTTAATAGTTTGAATATTTTGAGTCTCATTAAAAGAAAAAAGGGCCTAAATTAAATCTGGTTCCTTGGATTCATCACAGTTCGAATTCAATTCTACCCCATTCCGACTATTGGTTGCAAATTACTACAGAATTAAATTCCATTAAAATTCATCGAATCCAGACAGTTTTAACATTACAACACCAACATTGTGAGGCACATCTGTGTGTATGTATATATGTAATATCCTTAGTTTCTCATGTGGATGTTTCGTCTCATACAGATATGAGATTATGAGTTATGTCTTTTCTAGTCGACACAAATTGTCATTTTATTTCTAGGCATATTGTTAAGGATAATAGACTATAATAGACTTTGGTCATTTCTGATTTAAATTGATAAACACTTTTCGTCTTAAAATATTAAAGTTTCAAACTTTTCATTCTTGGTAACATTGCAAAACTTCTAAATTAACATAATCAATTTTCATTTTTTTTACTAAATGATTATTTTATTTTATTTTATTATTTATTTTATATATTTTTGTTGGTGATTGTCTTCAAAGAAGGGTTGTGTTTCAAGTGTGTCAAATTTACTACCTAATAATTAGGTCAAATTTACATGTAAAGTAAAATAAAAAGCATAAATTACATATTTACCATAACATCTGTTTTTCATAACAAGTATTAATGTGAAAAGAAGAACACGACGCGATGGGTGTATAGATCGACCAGTGGCGAGTCTAGGATAGAAATCCAAATCGTTCACTAACTAGGGTCGGTTCAAGAAAAAATCAGGTTCAACCAGAACAATAACCAATTCACCATGTATAAAAACTAATTGTGAGATGACCGAGCCCAAACCTATAAACCTTAATTTTTTTTTTTTTACTAAAATCAACATAAATTTAAAATAAAACTGTCATGTTAATTATTATTTACACATCTAATAGTCAGCAATAAAAAAATGTGAGTAAAAGTTTTTCATTTAAAGAAAAAATGAAATGAAAATCTATTTGAAAGTAAAAAAAAATAAAAAAATAAAAAAAATAAATAATAAAAAAAAATAAAAAATAAATAAATAAATAAATAAAAACTAAGCAAATGTATATAGATTCACGATCAAATGGGAAATGATTTGTTTGCGGCTTTCCCCCAAAACACAAAAAGTTAATAAATAAGATGTATGTTTATTTTTATTATAACTCAGAAAATAAAATAAAAAATAATAATATGATAATGTAATAAAATAGTCCATCATCCTAAATGGAATTGGAACTGAAGTGGAAAAAAAACATATTCTTCCTAAATAATTCGAATCGTCGTTCCATTGCTTTGCCTCTATTTCAATAATTGAGTTCTTTTTTTTACCGACCCAAAATCTTTTTCTCTCTTTTCTTTCATTTTCTTTATAAGGTAGGTCATTCAAAAATATTTATGTGGTTCCTCAATATCTTGGTATATAATTTCTATTATTATTTATAAAATTAGGTGGGTCATGTGACCCACCTTAGGCATGCATAAACTCGCCACTGGTATAGACACGATACGTAAGGTAAAAAGTCATGGAGTAAACAGAAGCAAATCTTAATTCGCCACACGACTACGTGTTCATGTTCAGGTGTGTAGCTAGAATACAACACATGGGAGAGTCTCGATGACATGTAGAGATGCGGCGCGACCATTAGTTTTGACGCGACACATTTTCACGTCTAGGTATATATATATATATATATATATATATATATATATATATATATATATATATATATATATATATATATATATATATATATATATATGAGTAGGATCAAATGAGAACACCAAAAAGGTTGAGAATGTGAGAACAAAGTATATTTATTTGTGATTCCATGTATTCATTTGTGGAGAAATGATAAATTTTTACGCCTTTAATTTCAATTGAAGAGAAAAAGCATATTCATGTTGATTATGCGTAAAAATTTATCATTTCTCCACAAATGAATACATGGAATCACAAATGAATATACCCGTTCTCGCATTCTCAACCTTTTAGGCGTTCTCATTTGATCATTTCCCTATATATATATATATATATATATATATATATATATATATATATATATATATATATATATACCCACACACACACACACACACAAGTTTGGGTTATTTATTTTCGTGTCTCATATGATATTCAAAGAAGAATTTGGGAGGATATTTCTCGAGACTTGTGACAGGAAGACTTGTGACATCAAGATTGATGTTAGTATACAAGGGTACTATTACCGAACAAGTTAAGGTCCGAACAAGTGATGAATTTGAATGTAATCTAGATGAATGTTTAGTATAATGTGATAAATACAGTATTATGGTTATTGTGAAATGATATGTTTTGAGTTAAGAACTTATAGAATTATGTGTCGTTGAGAGTTGCATTAAACTTGTATGATTTGATTTGATAGCGTGTTATTTCTAGTTGAGGTAATGAACTAAATTAGTTAAATTATAGATAAATTATGCTCTACGTTAAACAACTAGTTTAGTCTTAATAGCTATGAGCAACATTGTTCCTCTCTTTATGATATGATCTAAGTATAATTGCTTCAATATGAATTTATTTGTATTGAGATACATGTTATGAATTATGGTGGAGAATGGAACTTAACAGTCTTGGTGGCCATAATGTTAAAGTTCAAGATGACACTATACTTCTGGGTAGTCTTGGTGACCGTAACAACCCAAATGCAAGTTATTGGATTTAGTGGTAGACTTGGTGACCAAAATACCAATGTATTGGAATTGTTGGTCATGGTAGTCTTGGTGACCATAACACCATTGACCAATGTATACAATTGCCTTGGTGGTTGTAGTATCATCATCATTGGAGGAATACGAATCAATGATGAATTTGATGTATGTAATGCTATACTCGTATGTTGATATTCGAAAGAGTTAGTGGTCTTAGTGACTGTAATATCATCTCCTGGGAAATATAAGTTAATGGTATATTTGGTTTATGTAATGTTATACTTTTATGTTGTTATTGGAGTATGATAGGATAGCTTTGGTGGCTGTAATATTGTCATTGACAAACTACTAGTCAGTGATCTACTTGGTGTTCGTAATGCTATATTTGTAGGTCGTTAAAGGAGAATAATGGTAGTCTTGGTCTCTATAATGCTAACTTGCAAATTAATGAGGTTTAGTGAAGGTTTGCATATCCATAATGCCATTAGGGAAAACGCTACTTAGATTAGGTGGTAGTTTATGTAGTTATGATACTACCGAGGACAGGTTATTTGAATTTTATAGTAGCTTGTGTGGCTGTAAGTCTAATACAAATGGTTAATGGTTATAACAACATCATGGATAGTTGTAAACCTCTTTATTTGAGGAATTTGTGTAATAGCACCCAGTTCGAGTGTATATCATGTTACTGAATAGGCAAACGGAAATTATATTGATTTATAGATATATTTAGTTGTGTGTCTAGTTTATATAGTTTTGGCACGGTTACTCACTAAGCTCTTTGTAGCTTATCCTTTTGTTGTTGTGTGACTTCTATGTTCATGTAGATTAGGTAGAAAGATCCATAGTTGGTACATTCAAGCTCAGAACATCATATCAGTAA